TGGTTATAAAAAACCTCTAGCTGTTCATGTCTCTGAATCAGTAGCGCCTCCATGACAGCATAAAGGAGCCTGGTTTTTAAGAGGAGTTGAACAACACCCGTCGTGTATCTGTGGGTCACTCACTGAATTCACGTCTACCCAAAAACAGTCCTCCCCCCACCCTCTTGTTTTTTTATCCTGTACTCATTAGTCAGAGACTAAACTGCTGAGTGTTGCACCAAAAAGAATGTGAAAAGGAAAATCATGCAAAAAAGGTTTTATGAAAGCAGCTTTTTTTTCAACATTGAATTTGGAGACACATCATTTTCTTTCCACTTTTTAACATTTGAGTTAGATGAAAAGATTCAATTTGAGTATAAAAAATGAAGAGAAGATGGAAGACTGAGTGTACAGGGAGGGAGTTTTTGTTTCACTGAAGCACCTCGAGTTCAAAATACCATGTCATCGGCCAGTATGTGTTTACCAAATGTACGGTCAGAGACTGTAGACTGAATAACATTGTTGAGCACACCAGCTGCAGTACAGTTTTAAAAAATAAACTCTCGACACATTGTAAAGGCACTAGTGACTGAAATCCACCACTTTTACAAAGTAAAAAATAAAATGAAGAAACATTTCCAGTCATAGATTTGCATATTTTACTTCATTTATTTTAACTTTTACCACTTAAATTAGTCATAAATAAAAAAAACATGCACCTATTGTTAATTGTTTTTTGTCTGAGCAATTTACAGAAAAATAGGGTTTTATTAAGGAATGTTGATTAGTCTCAATTAATTAGTGTTCATTGTGATTGATCCACAGACATCCTGTGATTAATTCTCAATTATTTTCTGCCATGCCCCCCTTTGAGGACAGAAATGTTATCATGCCCCCAATCCCCTTCGGCCCACACCCTGCAAATTGAAATACTATTGAGACCCTGATAACATGTATATTTTTATCTGTACAAACCACTGTATGAGTTGCTGCCACCTAGTGACTGGAGGCTTGTTATTATTCAAGCATTACAGCAGTGGTGCACTTGTATCCAACGTATCATATTCCATTAGAAGCCTGTCATGCCCCTCCTGGCACCTCACCGCACCGCCCCACAGGGGCCCACCCCACTATTGAGAAGTACTGGATTAATTTGATTAAATAATTTGACAGCCCTTAAAAAAACAGATCAATAATCACAAGGAGTAAACATAACCCACAGTTGTTACTTAGTTGTTGTAACTGGAATTGGACTCTTTGACTCTTTGAGAAAAACTCTAAAAGAGGGGTCACCAAGTATATATGTCACAGAGCCAAAACCTTAGGTTCAGACACTCAAATGAAATGAATTTGTAGTACTTGAAACCTCAAGAGAGGAAAAAATCTTTTTTTCAGATTCATATGTCATGAAATATTTCTCCAGAAGCAGATCTAACTCATTATGGTGACATTGTTCCCTGATAAGCCATTCATATTCACACGTTTCTGTTGAGGTGTTTAATTGAATCTGTTGAAGACGGACTTCCATCATTGGCTAACCGAGCAAATGGAGTAAAAAGAAACAATTGTCCCCTGATATTCGTCATAAAATTCACAGTGCGTCAAACTCTCGCTGTGTGAGTGTGGAAAAAGATATGCGATTAAATCACCATTCATAATTTTTATATCTGGTGCTGTAAGGCTGAATAGCTGCTGGCATAAAGACTCAGTTTCTCCCAAAGGAGACACTCTGTGAGAGTCTGTAGGACGCTTCATTTCATTCACTCATCCGTTAAACTTTAAGACCTTTCCCAGACAATCCATGTGTGGTTGTGGTTGATTTACTGTTAATATACTGTAATTATTATTTCTTAATGAAAAAGATTTTTGGTGAAACTTGTATATCGTTCGTCTCTTGTAATTTTATGTTAATGACTCATAGTTATTTTTTAGTTTTCTACATATGTAAAGGGAGACCAGTGTTTTTTTTCTCTGCTTTTATAAGTTTCAGAATCTTCATGTTCAATGTTCTCAAATTTTGACACAGTTTTCTTTGAAAGATCCCCAGTTTTTCTGTATGGAGTGAACATGGCCTTTTCTGCAGATACGCCACTAAAACAAAACAAAAAATAAATAAAAGCAAATACATGCAAAAAATGCAGTAAAGATAGAGATAAAGAGCACATCTGTATGTACTATTTATGTTAGTAAATAAATACATCTTCATCGGTGACTATAACAGAATCGAATTGTTGCCACTGTGGAAACATGCAAGTGATTCATCAGGTATGTTTCAAGGTCAGGTGCTTTGGCAATTTACATTCAATATGGCCACAGGCAGAAAAAAAAAGAATGAATTTTCCAAGGCTTTCATGTCTTTCACAGCATGATATGCTGATGAATGTGATAACATACATTCATAGCTGACTCACCCACTGGGGGAGAGTTAAGGGGGGGGGGGGGGGGGGCCTGCCAAGCATCCTTTGTGTGTTGGGAGTCAGAAGCAAAATAAATAAAGAACATAGTGATGTAGAGCAGAAGATGAAACACTAGAACTCCCCCCAGAACTGGGTGCCAGGCAACAGATGCTGATAACTGCCTCCGATTAAGTCCAAGGTTGTCAGCAGCTACTGCCAAGAATCGCAATCTATATTTACTGTTCCTCCTTTCTGTGTCACATGATCATATATGTGCCACCACTATGCGTCGACAGGTGTGAGAGTGAGGAGATGAAAAGATTCATGTCTGAAGTTTCCATGAGGCAGGAGTGGATTCCATTGAGTTTTCTATACTCATTGCTCTATGTAATAGTTTTTTATCAAGTTAAGAAACTCAGCATCATGGACTTTATTTTAAGGCTAATTTTTAAGCTATCGTGGGCTACACAAAATGACTTGGCGGGCCACATTTAGCCCTTGAGTTTGACACATGTGCTGTAGAGAGTCGAACACTGCACAAGTAGAAATGTTCTTATATACTCATATTATTCTACTTAACTAGGTAATGGGACACATTCCCATTGCTATTTTTTCTCTCTATGCTGAAGGGAAGATTGTACATTCATACTTTGATAATAAGTAGATTAGAGCATATCTCTTTTTTATTTCTGAATGCAATCTCCATTACTAAACCAATAAACCGCTGAGAAGAACAGAGCGGCTGAACTGACGAACCTGAAATAGCGAGTCCATTAGGGATGAAGAGCGACGGGACGACAGTTCTTGGAGTTTGCTTTTATGTCCTATTAACAACAGAATGAAGAGAAAATAAGGAGATAATTATGGTCTTTCTCAAAGAAGTTTTTTTTTTGTTGACATGTCACTAATAACACAGTGAGATGAGACAACTTGGTTCTGAGGCTTTGATCCTTTAGCTGAACAATTACCATTACCATTAGTGCTTGCGTGAGTCGCATTCATTTCCAAAAAGAGCAGCAACAATACTGGTGTGAGCGCTATGTATTTTGTATGGCCACATCCTGGTCAACTTTGACTTGATTCGCATGAACATTGCCCTCTGCAGGCAGGCCTTGTGTCTTCCAGGAAGGCCGGCAGCTGAGAGGATCTGATCTTTGCCACATGGCGTTTGGAGCTCTGTGCTTCACAGCTGCCGACAACAACAACACAAACACAGCTGTATCCCCCCGTGGTGTTACACCTCCACGGGGAACTCTGTCTGCTAATAAGACCCAGGAGTTAAGAGAATTTTGTCCCTGAAAAAAAAAAACTGAAAAAAAATAAAAACAAACAGAAAAAGACACATGAGCGCATCGCCCCCAACTGTTCCTGTTATGAGGGCATTTCCTGGTTTTAGTGCAAAGCCGGGTATAATATTAGCTTTTTAATTGTCTGGAAATCTTTGTTTCATTATCAGGATGAACTCAGTGTTTCTTCCTTTTCCTCTAGTCGACTGCAGTTGACTGACTGGAAACAGATGGCACTAAATTTTACGAATCTCCTCAAGGCCACACGAAACACAACAGTCCAATGTAAATAGCTCTACTGGAATCTATGGGGCACTGTCCGTCAACGAACTAACTAACTAAATAATTGTTTGTATATATCCATTATGGCACTGGTATTGGTATAGACTGGATATTACACAAATCATGTATCTTTAAAATTGGAACAACATTAATAATTTATTTGAAATCTTAGTTCACAAAACAAAAGAAAGAGACAAGTTTTCCTTTGGGTCACAAACATAGTTTCCAGGGTTTTTTGATACACAACAGTGTCTCTGTTGCCCACACACTGTTTAAGATCATTTTGGATAATCTTAACAAGTCAAATTCTTTTGAACAATGTTTATTTGAATATCTTCTTATATTTTTATTTTAAAACAAAACAAGATTGCTTTGCAGTGGACACTGCCCATATACCTGAGCTAGGAAATGTGGGCTAAAATATAACAATAATAATAGTAATAACAACAACAACAATAATTATAGCAATGGTTATTGTTATTATTGGTAGTAGTTGCAGTGGTAGAAGTAACATTAATAGTGGTAGTATTCTCAGAAGCACTTTTTTTCATATTCACTCACACTTTTTTCACATATTTAACTGCTTTCTCACAATTGATGTCTTGTGGTAATAAATGATGTATTCAGTAAGTAAGTAAATGCACAATACCACATCTTATTACATATTTATAATTTGTATGGTTAGCGTTTGTCTGTTTAAATAACAAGAAAATTAGTGCCGTCTGAACTCTTTCACTTTTTACATCATTGTCAGTTTTATTTGCTAGTTTTGTTGGTTTTAAGGAATCCTCTCTTTGGTTTGGTCGCATAAAAAGTCTGTAACTAAAGTTTTGTAAAGTCTCACAAAGCAAAGAAAAAAGAAGAGTGAACGGTCGTTAAAATCTTTCAATTAAATTTCTAACGTGCCTGTGGGAAACACTTTAACACGCTGGACTCCAGTCCAGAGGCACGAAACAAAGAAATCCATGCACACGCCAAGAGGTGGAGCAAGACTTTCCCCGCCCTCTTTTCACAATCTCATCCGTCATTGGTCAGTGACCTGACCGTGTGCTCCACTATTGGTAGCCGGGTTTGTCGATCGGAGTAGCGTTTGGTCGCCCAGTGTTCCGCTGTGTCGGAATTGAGGGGACGCTAAAATCAGAGGAAAAAAACTTCTGCCATAAGAAAAAGTTTATGTTGGGGTTTTCAGGTTCTCCGGACGTCCACATGAAGGTAAGAAGAACAACAGATAATGTTTTGCTGTCCAATTGTTAAAGTTAGAGGCCGTAATTGTGCACGCTTTATCAAGTATCAAACACAAGTGAAGGACAGAAAAAGTTGTTAGCTGCAGTAGTCGCTGCTAAAGGCCGAACCAATCGTCTTAAGATCACATGACAAAAGACGTTTTTGATGTTTTTTTTTTTTTTGGTTGGTTCTTACCAAGATAATACATGATATTCGTTCTACACTTTAATATCTACGGTTATGTGTGATGTCACATTCAGTCTCTACCGTCAGTCTAACCGTTACTCTGGTGATTAAACTCGAACTATGGTTTTTATTTTAAGAAAAGCGGACAAATTCTCCTGATGGTGATTTAAGTGTTAATTTGTACTCATTAATGTAGGGATATCAACAGTCTGGATGCAGGACAGGTTAACAAGAAGTCTAGACAGAAGTGACGTTGGCGACCAAGTTGAATTTAGCATCCAGACATGCTACATCTGCTCGTCCATCCAGACATTGTATAAGGGAGGAAGTGAGGATTTACCTGAACTCTTAGGTCCAGTTGAAAACACTGGATAAGAAATGTGGAGCATAGTTTGAGACACTGTTTTTATTTATTTATTATTTTTGCTAATGTTGGAAGATTTGACAGTTTCACAGAGATGATGAATCTATTAAACTCCCTTAACTTAAACCAGTTTTTATGCTGACGTCTACCTCTGCTGTTAAAGGTCAGTGAGTAATGTTTATATTATTTATTATATTTATCTGAGTGGTAATTAAACTTAACAAAGCAAGAGGTAAAACAAAGCTTTCACCATGCTCAAAACATTATTACAAGTGCAGTGCAACATTATCAAGTATGCCTGATTTTATACCTGTTTTTATATTGTTTTTATTTCGAATTTCTGGATTATTCGTACTACCAGCACAACATGTGCCTTGTTGGATCAGAAATGCCCACATCTAGTCTGTTCTCCATCCTATTCATAATAACTGTCCCCATGGACCTCTTATGACTTAATAATGTTGGGAATGGATATAATTAACTTACTCTAATCTACCTTGTGTCTATTTGAGCTATAATAGCTAGCTAAGATGTTGTTTTACAAAAATATTTTTCTCTTGCAGCAATAACCTAGCGATATATTTAAAAGTATAATATTTAAAGAACATAAATATGTTATTTTAATGCATTTAATGGTAGTAGTTATGTTTTGTAGCAGGACTTCAGTAAGTAGAGTGAGGCACGTGTGAGTAGGATTACTTTGAATCATCAGTGAATAAATAAACCATTGCAAAACAACATCAACACTGTTTCCGGTGAAGGTGTACAGAATTGTCAGACAGTGTGACAACACCATCAGGTGTGCAGCTCACCTGTAGAATACGTTCAGCATCTACAGACCGATGAGTTGCTGTTTAGTTTATAAGTCAGTCTCGTACCAACTTGTTAACTTGTATGTTTGCTGTTTTCATCAATGACATGTCAGATGGACTGGATGGTAGAGTGGGACGTATTACTAGTTAAGTCACCCAGTAATTGTCCTTTGCATATATGCAAAAATGGAAGATATTAGTCTGTTTAAATAGCTCAGTTGTAGCTAATTGTGACCCAAGTTTACTCTGCATGTAACTACCGGCTGTTGCATCTGTGGCACAAGGCTAACCAGGCTTAAAACAAACAGGATTAAACAGATTAAGGATGCAGGGCTTTGGATCAGTGGTGACACTGTAGAATGTGTGGGAATATTTATGCTTCCCAGGTTGCCTGTTATTCCCACATAATTACCAACCATGACTAAGAGAGGCTAAGTATTACTTTTTTTTAAGTTAAGACATTTGCAGGCCTAAGGATGGGCCCCTGCTGGAGCCGACATTTCTCATAACGTAGCACACACTTGTCATAGTGATTACTGTGGCTTGTGCAAATTTGTGAGCAGGCCTGTAGACCAAAGCCGAGCAGAGGTGTGTATGTTGATTAATTAGCATTTTAATCCTGTGGTTAGGCCACGGAATGGCAGTCGCTGGTGAAGGCACAGCTAAACACTAGGTTCATTCTCTGTGAAAGCAGTGGCACAGGAATAGTGCTGCTGATGCACTTCAGCAACATCACCAGAGCTTTTTCCTCTTCGCACCTCTGCATACTGCTCCTCACAGTCATATGAATGTGCTTATGACTTCCAGATTCCTATTCTCACTGACAAAGTCTGTGAAAAACAGCAGCTCCCAGCACAGATATTATAGTCCGGTGACTCCTGTGATTCTCCTTATACAACCCGAGCTCCCTCCCCGCCACCTCCTGATGACTTCATGATGTGACCACAGACTGCTCAAAGCCCAGCTTGTTTAGTAAATGCTAGTTCAGGTGCAGCTCCCAGCGAAAAAAGATACATACAGTGTTAGTGATTCCAGCTTAAGCCCATTCATGCCATTTATTATTGGCGGGTGCTTAATTCTATCCAGCAAACATGTCCCGTGAGAGGAGGATCATCTGAGAGAGACGGTTAGTGTAAAACATAAACAGCTTTGATCACATTTCAAAGCCGGGGCCTGTGTATGTTCACTGAAGCAGTGTGTGGCTGGGTGTTTAAGATGTGGGCACGGCAGGACTTGTCTGCAGTACCAACACAGCATTGAGATTAGAGTGTAGTCTTTACAAAGAGACCACATCACATCCCCAGCATGGAGCAGCTGTCACAGCACGCTGTATAATTGAAACATACACATGGGGAAACAAAACAAGGCCATATTGCATTCAACATTTTGAAGATGTCAGCCTTCAAGTGTTTGATGTTGGATTGGCCACTGCAGTATTGAAATGTCATATTTTCACAGTGTGCGTTTCACACACTGGAACCTGGAAGATGGAATTTACAACTTTGATAAAAGTTGTGTACTTTTTGGTAAGAATGAAGAGAGATATTTTACTTAAGCTGTAACACATACGGAGTCCAACATGAGTTGTTGTGATATGAGTGTTTTAATTTGTGCACTTGAAAGTACCAAGTACAATACCAAGTACTAATACCAGAGCAGAGCTAGGTTGGTTTTCAGTAAATATGCAATTAACTGGAAGGCAATGTTATGTACATGACACAAGTCTGACTGTAATGGCGAGTTGTGCAATGTGTAGATGTGAGTTTAAACCACATGACACAAAGCAGGAAATGATTAGGCTGTTTTGTTTTTTACTCATTAGCAGAAGGCTATTTTTAGCCAAAAGAAAACGCATGGTTCCGAATTTTAAAAAAAAAGTTAAATTCTCCATAACACTCACGTCACATTAGACAATCACTATGAATAGGAAATAAATAAAAGTAAAGGTTAAACCTTCTGCAGCGTTAACACAGCCAGCTGAACAGAAAGTGAGCAGAGCTTTTATTCCAAAAGCACTATTTTCATGTTTCAATAACAAAATTACCACAAAATGTTAAAAAAGGTTAAAGCCTCAGTGGAAATGTGGCTTGGTGATGTGTAAACCCACCCACCTCATCTATCCACTGTGCAGTTCCAAGTGAAATGATAATGGAACAAGTATTGATGCTTTCCCATTAAAAAGTATTCATTGTTTTTGTCTGATTCCTTTACATGCAGGGCGAATAGTGCCTACTTATTTTTACTATAGACATTATTCTCTCAGATTATAACAAGCATCTCTCCCCATGAAGTCTACGAACCACTGAGTTTCATCTGATTCCTCAAGTCTCCTTGGGGTGTTTGATTTGAGGTGAATTAAAAATCATGGCTTTGTCTCCAGAATAAATTTAATAATTGAGGAAACGCCTACAGCATTGCTTAGTAGTTAACTTGTGGACTCCTGTGGGGTTTGAACACTCATTTGGTTAAATAAATGAAGTTAAAGTTGTGTCTTTACCTCAGGCCAAAGTAAATACTCAGCCACTGCTACATCTGTCTGTCCAATTTTTTACCCAATTATTGTTCACTTTGTTTATCTTTCAATGCTCTGTCCCTGCAGTCCAAGCTAAACATGGAGAGTTTGACCAAGCCGGAGCTGCTGATGCTTTTCAGCGTCCTGGAGGGAGAGCTGGAGGCACGAGACCTAGTTATTGATGCCCTGAAGGTATTTATAAACACACAAAATGAACGTGATTGTGTATATGGTAGTCGAAATGACTCTGTAGTGGTAAAGCCACGAGTTGTTTGCTGGTGTTTACATGGAACACTTCAAATGTTGATCACTGTTGACAGATGTAACGGGAGTCTCTTTTTATGGATTGATCTTTTAAACCCTTTGTTGCTGTTGAACCTGAGGTTATTTGTTCAAAATCCAGCCAAAATGGCTTGTGATGGAGAAAATGTTGTTGCCAGTTCAAGGCAGTGGTTTCAGGTGTAAAAGCATTTACTCTTAACTGATTTTGGCTCCAAAAAAATACTGAGAAACAATGTTTAAACCTTAAGAGGAGGTGATAGGAACTCCAAACCAAACCAAAAAAATGAACCTCCAGAGAAACTTTATATGTTCACAGCAGTAACAAAAAAACCTCAACCCTTGAGACCAAAAAGTATGTCTTTGCACTGCTTTTGTGAGCATAGCATAGCTATGCAGTTAGCGTGGAGAAGCACAGAGAAAGGGAGAGAGTGCACTGTTTCCTGTTATATAACATACAATTTACAATGAAAGAATCTGTCTCTGTAATGCAGTTAGATGTTTTTCAAGTTCCAATACTACCTTGTGATTGGTTAACTAAAACTGAAGTATTTTAACAATAGCTCTTGCGATACATGTAATTTGATTAAAAGCACGATACCAGAATTTCCGTAGTAGATACCAATACCTGTGAATTTTTATAATTCTCAAAAACTGAATTTCAATCATAAAAAAGCAGGCATCCATATATTTTTTTGAATGATCATCAACTTGGTACCGAAGTATCTGTTCTTTTGACAACTCTAGTTGATGGCGTTGTCGAATGCAGGGATCATCAACCTTTTTCAAACTGAGAGCCACTTAACTTAGTAAAACGAAAAGCTACTTGTTTGATACAGACTTGCCGAACAATGTAATACTAATTTGTAAAGAACAGTAATGCTGCTCCATCAAGGTCTGGGACATACAATAGGAGCCACTTTTAATGTGACATATACCAGATGTTTTTACCTTGTTGGAATTTTATCAGGGGACTTTCAAGCTATGCCCACGAAGGTTTTTGTAGACCAGTGACATTAAAAAAATATCACCACCCTACGTATTTTACCATCAGCAACAACACGTAGGCTGAGCAACTGATGAACTAGTGGGATGAAATTCACTTCCCTATTTTGACGTCAAAGACTGAGGATCAGCTGGGAGTGACTGCTGATGAATGTCCGTGCGTTGTGTCTAGACAGCATTCCTTCACCTCTCCTGGGATCTGGCCATCTAAGGCAAAGAGAATTACAGCATGCTGGGTGTCTGATGACTCAATGTGAGCGAGACTAGGAGTGAACAAATAAACACTGGCCTAAACTCCAGCTCTAAAGGGAATGTGGCTGTGCTTCTTTTAAACTATTAACCCATTCAGGAGTCAAGGAGTGAGTTAGTGTTGCAGCGTATCCACATCCACCGCCTTAAATAAGACCTGGAGGAAATTAACTGCAGACAGTGGAGGTTGAAAACTGATCTCTCATACCTTTCTCTGTTAAGCCATGAGCGAATAAAAAGTTATAGTCCTGCCTTCACATTACAGTAAATTGCTACCATAAAAATATCAACTCGTTACTTTGTCTTAAGCTTCGCTAACAGTTAGAGTCTATATGAATGGTAGTAATAACATTCTCCAAAATCTCAGTTTCTTTACTTAGGTGCAGGCTGATGTTGTTCACCAGCTACTCAATGGTTTGCTGTATTTTATTAAAACAGTTCTACATTGTACAACCTCTACTGATTTGAGGAATTCCTCTGAATTTTCATTTAGGCTCAGCGGCGGGTTAGAGCTTTCAGCAAGTGAAATGTGTTAGCAGCTAATGAATGGATTGGTAGCAGAATGCTTTCTGACATTTATGGTCCATATGAGACATCTTCTAATGCTAACATGTGGTTGTTATTAGCATAAAACTTTGATTGGGGATGCGTTTTTGTAAAAGTGTTGTCTTATCAATGTCAGTCATCTTTTAGTGCTACTTAACACACTATATGATGTGAAAAGGCACGATTCAGATAAAATTAGGGCAGGTTGACACTTCAGTAGTGGGTTTTTTTAGTGGTACAATATTCAAGATTTAGCACCATCTAGTGGAGAAGTTGTGGTTGGATTATTTTTACTATTTTTACTCACTATTTGCTTCCAGGCATTTAACATAATTTCCTAGCCATCTTTTTTTTTGTTAATACCCATAATTAATGTGGTTTGTCTATTGTGGGTCTAGGAAAGACTCACTAATGTATAGTAAAATAGAGCTCAATCTGGGCCAATGAAAACCATGACTCAGACCATCAGGTAAGAGTACACTAATAAGACTGTGTTAGAAAATTTCATAGAGAATTTCTGCTAATACAAATAGAATATTAAAAAAATTAGAATCCAACTATGACGCATAACTGTTTCATAATTACAAAAAAAAAAAAAAGGTGACACCTCTAAGTGATTTGTGATGCCTTTGGTGGCATCCGACCGTCCACTGCCTTTTTCCCCTGTGTGACTCATTTGTGCAGCTGCTCACGCTGCAGCTTTAAAAAGAAAGTTAGTCTCTGGCAACATTCCTGTTTGGCTCACATAGACCTGGAGTGATCCAGTAGTTTCTGCTCTGAGAAGAAAAGAAATATTTCATACTTGGAGTTCAAAGAGGATTCAGATATGGAAATGAACCTAAACTGTGAAGTTCATAAGGTTCCAAGTATACTGAAAACAGATTGGCTGACCTTGTGTGCCCTTGGTCGTGGAAGAAACATGTAGCTTTGACAGGCGTATGCTGACTCTGCCTGTACCTGTTTTAACCTCAGAGACATTTTCATTCAATTTTTATTTTCTTTCCACATTTGCAGGAATGAACATCTGCATGAGCAACTCTACATTTTATAGCCTTTAGTAGTCGTATATAAAGATGCATGATTTAAAGTATTATGTTGACTCATTTGCAAATGTGAACTGGATTTGGAATAATACAGGAAAAACACTCATAGAAACTAATACAAACTACACCTAAGACAAGCCACATAGTGGCTGTTTTATGTAAAAGAGTAATGAATTATGTGTACTTTATATTTTACACGTACTCAGTTTGTTAAATTGAAACATAATCCATGACTATTTTAGCTGTTAAAGAAGGTATTTCTTTGTAGTCAGAGTATATAGACATTAGTATATAGATATTTTACATCAGGATATTTTTTTCATAAGAATATAATAATACACATTCTGGTTGTTTAGAATTGTAGGTCATTAAAAAACTATTCTGTAATCCTCTCCACATGCGCGTCTGTCTGTTTATAGCCAGGGATGATTGATGGAGGAAAACATCTCTCCTCTGTGTTGAACAAATGAACGCATCTGTCTGTGGACCGAGGCTCTGAGCAGAAAAGAGAGGCTGTCTTTATGAGTGGACTTGGTCAATCATTAGAGACCCTGAACCTTTAAGGTCAATTATCCAGTTATGAAAACATGTGGAGACCAAATGAGCAGAACAGTTAGAAGAGTCAATGTACATTTCAAGAGTATAATCCACTCTGCATTTTGCAGTTTAAAAAGCACTTAAAAATTGGTTGTTCTTTTTCTATTTCCAGTAGTCACCAAAAATAAAAATCCTAAACTAAAACAGTAGAGCTAAGTTGGTACTAAGGTAAAATGACAAAAGCTGTTGCTTTGCAGGTATGTATTAACTGTCCCCTATGGAAAATGATCATTTATCGCTAGAGCTGTCAAACTTTGTGCATCACTTTGGCAATATGTTTTTGTTTCAGCACCTCAAGCTTAAAATTTCAAACTTAAATGGCATCCACCTTTTAATTGTATTTTTTTTCCCCCGTGAAACAGCCCCAGAATAATTTCCATCAAGTATGTGGAAAAATATTTTGGAGGACCAAGTTATGAGTCACAAATAAAACCTTGCACCAACAACAAGGACAACATTCCACATTTTCATAATGTTTTGAATCCCACATATCTCCAGCTGGGCTCAAAGTGTAGCACTCACCCTTGGTGGTAATCTTCATTTTCTCCAGCTCTTAGTATGTTTTTTTTCTGTCATCTCATTGTGCCAGTTGATCTGCCTTCAGCCAATTAAACTCAGGACAAACTAGCAGTCCTGCTGTCTTTGTGTCACATGGGATAAAGACTAGTGATAATCAGTGCTCTTCTAAACTTCTTTGAATAACTATTTTCTCTGTCTCTACCTTACAGTTGATTTAAAAGCAGTTTTGCTAATTAATGCACACTCACTGAACTTCTGACATAATCTTTAGCCAAGATTTCTCTCTTCTGGTTCTCTCTCTCTCTCTCATGTAGTAACTAAAATAATTAAAAGGTCCAAATTATAAGGTTGATTTAATTAAGTGGTAAATTCCACACACATGACATTTTATAGCATTCAATAAACTTTTAAACTGGGTTTTTTTGGTTCTGGTGATGATACGGAAAAAAAATGTGCTTTGTTTCAATCAGTCTCCTCTTCAGTGGGCAAAAAAAAAGAAATTCTTAAGCGCCACTGTTCTGTGCTAAACCCAAAATGTTTTGCTGCTGTCAGTCATTCTTGGCTTAAACTCAACAGGTTTGTCTCTGCCAGCTTTTTGTTAAGGATGGGTAGACGCTCCATCTGTTCATCCGACCTGTTGCCTACAGAACTGCAGAGTTGTTCATCAGAGACGTGTTAGTGTCAGTATTTATCTTTCTTGGGTGTTAACAACAGAAAGATGTTCTCATAGATAATCCACAGGTAAACAAATACATCACCAGGGGTTGTTGTTTTACAAGTACACGTAAGACTAGTTCATGAGAAATGGGTGTGACTCAGATATTCTTAGAAACTTTTCCCTCTATTCTTGTCTTTCAATCGTTTTAGGCCCAGCGTAAGGATCTGTTTGTCCAGGAGCGTTATGGGCGGTACAACCTCAGCGACCCGTTCTTGGCCCTGCAGAGAGATGGTGAGGTTGTGGGAGGTCAGAGCAAAGATACAAACTGTTTGCCCACTGCCTCCAATCCACTGGTGGTTCTGAAGCTGGTGGTGAACCACTGCAAAAGGATGAGGGAAAAGATGTTGGCCCAGCTGGCTGCAGCTGAGAGCAGGCACAGAAGGGTGAGTTTGTGTGTGGCTTTGGTAAATTAGAGGAGCCACTTTCTTCCGTAGGTTTAAAAAACACAGGAAATAAATATATAAAAACAGCAATGCTCCTGTGTCCAAAAGCAAAGTTAGACGGAACGTTTCATGGTAATTGAACGTTGAGCTCGTCTAACTTGTCAGAAGTATCTAGCTGTCCGGCAGCAGTGACTACAGATCTCACAAAGACTTGAGTTATTCCACTCTCTGTCTCCACCCTGTGTTTGTTTCAGGTTATTGCAGACCTGGAGGAGGAAAAGAGGAGACACGCTGAAGACACAGCTGAGGGAGACGATGTCACCTACATCCTGGAGAAAGAGAGAGAGCGCTTACAGCAACAGGTTCACAGCAGTCTTTGAATTCTGAGCTGTAGCCTTTGTTTTTTTAAAGGAGCCATTTAAAGCAAAGATAACAAATAAAATGTTGTTGTTTTTTCTGACAATTGTCCCTGTATGTTCAGCTGGAGTTTGAGCGTAGCCAGGTCCGGCGTTTGGAAAAAGATCAGCGACGGATCACTGACCAGCTAGAAGAAGAACGGTCTCAGCACAAGCAGCTCTCCTGTGCCTTGGCCAAAGAGTGTAAATGGGCCAGTGCCAGGGCTCTGGAGGATGGTCATCGGGTGACGGAACTAAATCGCAAACTGGAAAAGGTGAGGGTTTTTTTTTTCTACCTTCAAATGTGAAGTCAGATTTTTGACTCTTTGTCTTATTTATTTCATTTAGGAAAAAGAGACTTGCCAGGTGTTAAGAAAAGAGCTGGAGGATGAAAGGAAGAGAGCCCTGAGGATGGAGGCCAGAGTTGAGGAGCAGTTGGCTGAGTTCGACACGGAGCGAGAGCAACTCCGCTCACGTCTAAAGAAAGAGGAGGCTCAGTGCCATCAGCTGAAACAGCAGGTTTGAGACTGGGATTTGTTCATCTCTAAGGTGATGATTCCATTCAGTAAATCTGTTCATCACTTTTATTCCAGGTTCATCTTTAAGAACCTGGAATTATTCACCTATTAATGCATTAATGCCATTTTTCTTTTTCTGTTGCAGTATTTTATGCAACACACACACACCCATATACATACACTACTGTATATGTTTATATACATGTATACTGTACTATACATATTTATGTATGTAAGTGTATAGATATGACAGATGCTGTAGGACATGTGTTCTGTATTTTCAAAGGTTACACAGTCACAACAAAATCTTACTACTCTACTCTTTTCATTTTAATCCTCTTGGTTTGATCAGGTAGAAGATTTGAGGCGAAACATGGAGGAAATGAACTTGATCGGAGGTCAAAGTCCAAGACATACAACCACAAACCCCATTAAGGTGGATGATATTGAGAAAGATAAAAGCCACCCCCCCGAACAACCAAAAGTCAGTGGTCACCATTGTCCAGTGGAGATCAATGGGCACCACGATCCACACAACACCTTCTCGGAGAAGGCGTGTCTTCAGAACGGGGTTGAAAGTCCTCCAGTCTGTCAGTCTCAGATCTTACCAGGGTCTCCTACTACAATGCCACCTACTCAGTCGTCCTGCGCCACCCCTGTTCTCACCAAATGCGTGGCAGGAAACCCGCTCAATCCTGGAAACTACCAGTCTACCTACCAGGCCGGGATCAACCAAAGATTCCATGCTGCTCGCCATAAGTTCCAGGGTACAGGCGATCAGGAACCTCCATCCGTGTTCACTCAAACTGCTCTTCCTCTTTCTCCAAAGGAACCCTCCTGTGTACCCCCCACCATCACCACCCCTACCCCCATCACCAC